CATCACCATCTAAACTCGTCGCCGCAAACCACCGTCCTCTCCCTCCCTCCCCCCTTGCCAAACTCAAACTTCAAATTCTCGCTTTCGTAACTTCAGAAAAAAAACACTTCAGGACTCACCTCACACCAGCTACAGCATACTTGTAGCCTTTGGACAGGACGCAGGAATTTGACTTCAGCAGCTGCGTGGATATGTTCCTGATTCCGTGGGGTAGTCTGAGCGTCCAGCCTTTGCCCGATTCCACTTCCCATACCTGGAGGAGGAGGGGGGAGGAAGGGGGAGGAAGAGGGATGAGGGTGAGGAAGGGGAAGGGAGAGGGAGGAGGGGGAGGAAGGGGGAGGAAGGGGAAGGAAGGGGGAGGAAAGGGAAGGAAGGGGGAGGAAGGGGAAGGAAGGGGGAGGAAAGGGAAGGAATGGGGAGGAGGGGGAGGAAGGGGTTGGATGGGGGAGTGGGGTGTCGAGGGGTGGGGGAGGGGGAAATGGGGTGAGGAGTGAAGAGAGTGGGAGTGTGGAGGGGGGGTGGGAGTGGGGTAAGTTTGGGTTATGAGAAGTAGTGAGGAAAGGAGAAGGGAAATGTTGATTAGCTTGAAATCGGTGTCCTCTGGGAGTGAACTTCTATGGAACTGGTGTATAGGGTTATTTTAGTTCTCTCTATCCCTCTCTATCTATCTATCCATCCATCTATCTATCTATTTATCCATCTGTCCACACATATCTATCTACTTATGTATCTACTTATCTATCTATCTATCTATCTATCTCAATTTATCCATCTATCTCTCTTTCTCTCACTCTCACTCTATCCATTAAGACATATTTTATAATCAATTACTTTTTCGCTCTCACCCTCTCATTCCCATCCACTCACATTTATCTCTATCTTTATTTAAACGAGCAACACACAAAAGGAAACAAACCTTAAAACCTAACATAAAGGTCCCGATCAAGTGTTTCTGGTCGTGAGTCAGGTGTAGCATAAGGAGTTTCTCGTCATTAGGGGCGATAATCCTATCCAGCATCCACGACGATTCGCCCTTGGTGAAAGCACACACATCCTGGCCATGTTCTTGCACGCAGCAGTACAGGTAAGTGCGGCAAGTTGTCCAGGTCATCACGCTGATAATAAGGAAGATTTTTTTTTTATCGGAATTCTATAAGTTGATGTTATTTTTAATGTGCTTGTAATTCTTATGATTTTAGGGGGGTTTCCTTGATGTTATTCTTAATGTGCTTGTAATTATTATGATTTTCGGGGGGTTTCCTTCAGGTTTAAGAAGAGGAGGATTAAAGATCTGGATAAACTGTTATCTATTATAAACAGGGAGGAAATACAAAATCAATATATTTTAGTTAAATTCACTCGAAACTCTATCAAACTTAGTGATAAATACTCAACCATCTTCAACTTTTTATACTCCCAAAGTATGTAAAGATCACGAATAAATACAATATTATCCCCCCCTACATTCATGACCTCGTCCTTGGAATACCTGTGGAAATCTAGATTCTCGAAGGCATTTCCTTCGACCACCGTATGTATAAGGAGGTTCTTGTCATCGAAGTCACCTGACCAGCAGATAATAGAGTAGTCTTGCGGGCCCTTGAAATCCATGAACAGTATGGGTTTGTCGACGGGGGAACTCACACGCTCTTTGATTTCTCCTCTGAGTGTGTACAAAACCCATGACCTGTAGAGTGTTGGGGAGAAATTAATATCTAGTTGGTATTATTTGAAGTTGTAGTATTTATCTTCAGTTAGTTATTACTAAAGTATGGTGTCATTTTTCTGCTGAAGTTCGTGTTTGTTAGGTGTGGCCTATAATCTCGATCAGCACAATATCTTAATACACTAACGCCATTTCCCCTAATCTACACGCTTTAAACTATTTAAATTATTATCTTCATCAATATCACCGTTATCATCATTCTAACAATTAACACATTTACTCCCGGATGCCAACCACGCAATGGCACTCACCTTTCCCCGTGGATGACAGCGCATGAGTCTGACAGGAGCGAACCTATGACAGTTTCCCCTGGCATAGGATTTTCGAGTAGGAAGAACTCACTGGTTAGCATGTTGAGGAGAACCGTCTGGTGGAAGATTAAATAGATGTTATGAGTTTCGTGGCTCTGATTGTGAGAAAGCATAATAAGATGTATGTGGTGTGCGGTTTGTTATTTATGAATGGGTCAGCTGTAAGTTAAAATTGATCTTATTTTATCCATAAATTGCATTACTGTTATTATTTTTCCTACATTTATTCGTATTCCTACATTAGATGCATCATTAACGCAACTTTTCTCAAGTGTTTTTCTTCTCTCTGACTTTCTTACTTTTACGTTTCTTTCCGTCTTTCCCTCCCCCTTCTTTCCCCTCTCGTTCCTTCTCCTCGGTATCCCCTATTATCTATCCCTTTGTCTCCTTACCTGACTGTTGTTAGTGTGGGCAATGGAGTACTTGTTGTCTGGAGAAAGAACAAGATCTTGCATAATGCCTT